CATGCTTGACGTTTCGGCAAATACTCCCCCTTTTAACCATTAATCTATTGATCTGAGTGGTTAAAGACATGCAGGTGCACTAAAAGCCGTGACTTGGATTGTTTTCACTTAATGACATAGCATGGGCTATGGCGTCTCCAGTATGATTTTTGTGTGGATTATTCGACTGGTGGATTGAGAGCCCGGATAAAATGACTCCTTCTTACTTTTGCCTTTTTCGCATTCCCATTCTGTGGAATCAGAGCCAGAAATGACTCGGTCGCTGCCAACCACCTGCTTTCATATTTACTTGATAATGGCACTGGGCCAGTATGCGGGACAGGGTAAGATAGTGCGCTTTCTGCATCTTATGCCAACACTGACAACAATATAATTCATATGAACTGGAAAATCAGTATCCCAAGAAGTATAATTCGGTAGAAGCACTTCTGTTTCCCAAAGAACTCCTTCTACCGAAATATAATTTATGCTCAGGTCACTGTCCACCGTGCCGTGGAGGCACACAGTAATCATCGTTGACATGGACAGTTAAATTCTCATATGTGGTGTGTAGTGCATTGCTGTGACGTGGGAATGGATTTTTCCTTGTCGCTCTTAATTTATTACTTTCTCAATGCACCGGTCGACTATCCCAGCCTGCCAACCAACCGGTGATGGTTAGGAAGCTATAGATGAGACGTGCAGTTAGGGTCCCAGTTTGATGCATACCACAGACGCGTGCAGCAGTCGTTAAGGGCTCATGCTGACAGCACGCTGCTGGAAGAACACGTGCCGTGAGCTGGTCCAGCCACCACTTGGTTCGGCCTGGTGTGGGAGTGGGCTAAACCTCTCAGCACTGCCACCAATCATAGGAATGAAGTCCTATGGAGTTGCAGAACATCGGAGATGATAGTGGTATGCCCTAACACAGAAGGCGCACAGCATTTATCCTTGTGTGGGCACAGTTTTCACCTATCACACTATCATGTGTTCTATTCAGAGTGAAAAATACTCAATGACCGCAAATATAGCATTCTTAGTTCGAAATAGATGCTTGAAGGCCTCCTCTCAAAGACGCGTTGCTCGAGGTGCTAGGCCAACTAGAGGCAAGGTTAATTTTTTCCTTGGTTCATAGTGTAGGATTCACAGAAGACGTGCGAATGAAGCGTTAATTTTCCCCCAAAGCAAAATATATTTGCGAAATTTGGGAAAAATAAACTGGTGTCTATCTGATATGCGGCTTCACATAGTCTTTGCATCTAATACATACCCACTTGCAAGGTAAAATAAACACCGCCTTTCTTTTTTCAGGTTGATTGTCACACCTTCCTCATTGTGTATCATTACAATTGACGTGTGGTGTAGCGCTAGGCTTAAGGCTAGATTTCTGGAGTTAGATTTAGGCTTTAGGGTAAGGCTAAGGCTAGAGGACAGGGTTGGAATTTGAGGTTACAGTTACGCGTAGCAGTTGGAGTTAAGATTTGGCATCGGGTGTTTGGAGTTAGGGTTATGTTTTAAGCAGGGTTTATGGTTAGGGGTTAGACTACCAGCATTTTAACTTCAGTTTGAACACCGGGAGAGTCGGATTTGGGGATACCTTCGTATTTCGTGATCTTTCCGTGGGATTATTCTTCATGGGCTGGAATAAATTACCCTGAAATATCATACCGATACCATCGGCTTTCATTTAATCCAGTCCCTTTGTAGCGGGCCAAGGATTTCGAGGTTGACACGCGCCCAAAAGAGCAATTCACCTGTATTGGACTCCGGATATAACGCCGAACAAGGTTGTTAAACACAACAACACCCAAACACATAGGGAGGTGGAAGAATAACCGGATAGTAACAGCTAAGATCTGTTCGTATAAAAGAATTGAAAGACAGTAAAAAAGGGAAAAATATTCGATAAGATAGGTTACCAAGGGACTGTACAATCGATCCACTTGGAGTGAGGGCTGATCACAGAATATCAGTGAGATACCGGTGAGGAGTGCAGCGCTGTAGGCCA